ATGCCGACTGGCTTCTCGGCCTCCGTTACTTAAAGGAAAACCGAGACCGAGGAAAAGGGGCCAAGTCACTTGAGTAGGCAGCTCACAGGCTATCAAAACTTTTGACGCTTAACTTGGTAGCTCCAGGAATCCGAGTTCTGGAGGGGCCTGCCTTTTGTCTTGGCTTTGTTGTTTTCTGGCCCTATGATAGCTGCGTAAGCGACGCACAACACTAGGAAAACTGGGCCTTGGAATAGGTAAATATTTGGGGGCAGGGCGCTGGGAAAACCCCTTTGGGGTTAGCAGGGGGAGCCAGAAGGTTTTCGCAACAAGGCGTTGAAACCAGACCTGCAAACCTGCCACCCAAATCCCTTGCCCTCAGCGTACGCACTTTAAGATGGTTTATGCGCAGCAAATGTTAAGATATTGCATGGTCATTTTTATCATCAAAAGTAAATTGGAAGATAAGATTAATGAGTAATTCTTGCAGAGTGTATAAAGGAGTTTACTTAAAATTTATTTAAAAGATTTTTAAAAAAATTATGCGCACAATAAAGGTCTACAGTTTTTTTTTAGATATATTCAGGATCGTCCTCATGAAATCTGTATTCAAGTATTAATATTGATGATAAGATTTTTAACTCATTTTTTGTTAGATGCAGTATCAGTAGATCAATAAAAGTGAAAACAGAAGTAACAGAAGTGTATGCTATAGGATTTTGTTCTTTCTGATTCTGATTATCCATATGGTGCTTCAATGTATTTCAAGGATAGTTCACAAGTAACCCTTTTGACTTTTTGCCGCCGCATAAACCTTTTAAATAATTTAACTAACCAAACAAAAGTGAGTTCTCCCTCGGTCGTGTCTCTGCGTATTTATTTACATTTTACAAGCCCCAACGAAACACATACGCACGTGGATACAAGGAGCTAGGACAGGAGTCCTGAAACATGACAACCAGGCGCAAAATTATGCACAGAGTTGCCATTTGGCATCTCCCTCTCACCGCTTATGGGCCAAAAATCCCAGAAGCGTTAGCGATGTCAGCGATGATGTTGCTGTTGCTGCTGTAGATGTTGCTGCCGTAGATGTTGCTGCTGTTGCTGTTGCTGCTGTTGATATGTGTGCGACAGGCGGCAACAAGGTGGGATGAAACCAGGAACAGCCGCAGATACAGACGCACATTCAAGGACCTCCGCACTGGGGGGTTCCATATAGGAAAATTCAATATGGCGACGGGGCTGCTGCTCCAACTTCCAACTGCCAACTTCTGACGGATGACTGCCCCTGCGACTCTGCCCACAAAAGCCTGGCAAGAAAAACCAACAGCATCCGGAAAAGCAGCAATCAAGTGGAAGCGGGTTTGTGGTGTCATGGGCTTGGCTTATTTGATAAGTGTCTGTTGGCTCTTAGGACGAGATAATACCTTATTTCGGACTACCTTGGCAATCAAAAGTTTTATCGAATTATTTCAACATTCGGGATTAAAATGCAATCAAATCGGTTGATTAAAAAATTATAGAATAGCTAATTTTTTTAAGATCCTTTAAACATATTGTTGAAATAGTACTTAAATCAAATGCATATCAACTTTATTTATTGCTCGAAAAACTTTTATAGGAATCATGTTGTACTTCAGCTATATATCCCTCAAAAAACCTTCAAAACTGATTTATTATATGGCAGTCAACATATTTTCGCGAGATATTGTTATTAGCTTCCCCCTCCTCTTGGTTGAGAATAGGCAGCAATCTGTTTTTGATGATGTCTTCACTGCCAATGATTTCCCTTCTTGTCGACACTCACATTTTCTGTGATTTTATTGTAGGCATCATTCTGAAAATTGGTGCTGATTTCGATTTAGTTTGATTTCCCTCTGAGCGACGCACAAACAAAATGCTTGGCAAACTTTTCAGCGGGTGAAACTTTGAACATAAATTGCTTATCGCATTCTCAATTCTCCTCTGAGCATATATATGTACTACACGATAGGGCCTAAACAATAATTTTCATTTATGCAGATGCGGAGCAGGGGGAAAACTTTGGCGAGCTTGCCTGTAATCCAATTTACCTAACAACAATTATGGAAAAAGGCGAGCGCAAATTATGTATTATAATTTATGTTAATTACTCAATTACATTTGAGCCTCCAGAAGTACGAGAAGCAGGAGCCCTCCCCTCCCCCCAATTATAAATTCCAAACACAAATGCGCCTCATTAATAAATATGAAACGTCAATGGGGGCGAACGACACTATCGCCGGAAGAAGGGAAGGTGTGGGCGTGCCATAAAGATTACGCAAGAAATCAATATTCGAGTGGGCCGAAAAAGGGGTTGAAGTGCCCAGGGAAGAAAAGAAAATCCGAGTGTTACGCACTCCAAAACTCTTGACTCCTGAGCCGGGGCCCTTAAATTTAAATAAATTACACACGTTCGACTTTTTCAGTTTGACTAACTTCTGCTTCTTACCCAATCTCGTCGTATTCTCCTGCTCCTTGGGGGTTGACATACGAGCCAGCAATTTTTCAAGGGCAACTTCTCGAACTCCACAAGGTAAAACAAAAGGGGCGCCTAAGCTATAGAATTTACACTATGAAAAACATAGCACCAACATTTGTTTTTGACTATCTCCTGTTTTTGTATTTTATTAAAATACTATTTTGAAGGAATAGTCTAAAAGTGATCTTAAAAGTATAATATCTATTTCCATTCTAATCTATTAATGTGACTTTGATTAACTTTTACTGCTGTAATGCTTATAGGAATTTCATAAACCATTTTAGAAAGTTGATCAAAAACTAATAATATAGTCAATTCTTTAAAAATTGATTTACAACTTTTCTCGAAGTGTATAAAAGGGCAGCTGTGGGTGTGTTTCTGGCGGGAGTCCCCCCATTAAGCAATTTCCTCGTATGTTTTTTTATCCTGCTCCATTTTCATGCCATTGCCAGGCTGGGAAAGATTAATGAGGTTTTTTGACAGCGAAAAATTAGGCAAAATGTGATTTAAGGGTTGTTCGAGCCCTTAGCCCACCTTTAGCCATTTTCCCCATTTCACGTTGCTGGTGTGGCCAGAGATAAGCCGAGAAAATAGGGGGAGATCTGAGTGGGAAGGAGCGGAAAGCTCTGGGCAATTTATTTTATTTGCCAAATAGTTATATGGAGCACGGCAGTCAGGCAACACTATTTATTTGATGATGTATTTTTATTACGAAAGAATTTATTAGATCGTGTTTGTTTCGCTGCCGGAGTGGCTCCATTGAAAACGAGAAAAACAGATGTTGGCCGAGCTTTTTGTTTCACTTAAGAGGGATAGGATGAATATTTATGGATAATTTAGTTTATGAGGGGCATTTATGGAGAGCATTTTTATATTTCCTTGGGTGAAAACTAAGTTGCACTCTACAATGAATAAACTGAGTGAGGACCCACCACAGTTTAAAGGTTAATGGTTCATCTCACTCATTTTTTATCTTTCCTTTAATACAAACACCTGAACGCTTACCAACCCCTGATCGAATTGTAACCCCCGGCTTAAGTTACTTGCAAAAATAAATCCGGGAAAAAGGAAAATTGCTTAATAATGCATACTAAGTGAATGCCACCACGCAAATGATTCTTTTCGCCAGTCAACAACTGTTTCACGCCTTTCAGTGATTTCCCAGCCGCTTCCTTAAAGCTGGCATGGAAAATCCATCAAAATTAACTCGCTTCGACTGCGAATTTTCCGTGGTACACACTTCGCCTGGATGTTTTTCACGCGACGCACTCGGCACCAGCCAACTTCCTGTCTCTCGGTTTCAGCCCTATTTTTCCTCTTTTTTCTGACCTAGGCCATCTTCTTTCTTTTCGCTCATTTCCGTCTGAACAACCGCTGACAGCTTAATGGCCGCCTGCTCAAACATTTAAAAATGAAAACGAAATGAGAGACGGCGGGGAAAATCTCTTTTCCATTTGAATATGGGGAAAAGTGTTCTTTGTAATCATTTGATTTACAGACCGCCAACGTTTCGCCTTCGTCGTTTTTTTATAAGCGTTTCCCTCACTCGCGTTTTTCGCAATCCGCCAATGAAATTGTTTGTCAACGCATTAATTCTTCGCCAGCCACAATTTCGATGATTTAATAAGCGATTTATTTATGCATTCATTTGCCGATTGAAATGCTTTAAATATTTGAAGAATTCTCTCTGTCGATTGTGCAATTAATCAGGAAATAAAAATGTGGAAAATTCAAAGCAAATATATTTCAAACTATGCGCTCTCCATCAGCGCCTGAAAAATATTTTCCATGCTCTATGCTGGGGCCCAAATTTATGGGAAATGGCCGAAATAGTTGAGTGCTTTTAGATCAAAGGGGAGGCAAATGAATCGCAATCAATTCCTTCGTTCCGCTGCTAATGAGCTAAATTTGATTTTATTTAGTTTTGCTTTTAAATAGTGTGATGGGTTGAACGGTTTTGGTTTTTGGTGTGGTTAATGGAAAAGTGACGTCAAGGCATCCTGGGGAGACGATGAAAGATAGTTGAGATCGGGAAAATAGGTATTTGTATAATTTTCCTTATTACATCACATCACATTATAACTTCCTAAATTTAAGATGATTTAAAAGATTTAACGATTTTACTTCACCCCTTTCATTTTCTGCATTACTCATTCGCTTTTGTAATCTATACGACCTTGTTCAGCGGTTTATGTCATTTTCCAGGGCTTTTTCTAATTTCATGCCGCCTTGTTTTGAGCCCATGGAGCAGAAAAATGAAAGCTTGTAAACATTTCGGTCCCCTCCGGTGGGTCCCTCCATACATTTTCGGGGCCTGGCGAAATTAATAAATTAACTTCCTTGTGTCATAAATCATTTCGGTTCCTCCTCACCAACTGCGAACATTTTGCGCCATTAAGCAGCTACGGCTTCCTCTTGTTGCGGTACTTTTCACTTACCCTAAACCGGAGCGAAGAACCCCGAAAGAAACCGCAGAGACCCCAAGCACCATTATCATCATCATCGTCCGCATTCCTGGGATTTCATCATGGAGCTTGCATAATCAACGTGTTACAGCTGCTGTTACTGCTACTGCTTCACTTGGTTTAGGCCTAGTTGGAACGATGCCACAGAATGGAATAGCTACACAGGGAGAAAATAAATGGGTTAGCTTTAGCTCAGTTAGTTCAATGTATATATAGTAGGTATCTAGTATGGGGCTTTTGAAATCTGCTTCAAATGGAAAGTTAAGATGTCTTTCGTTATTACAAGTTTAAAATTCTATGTCTCCTTTTAGGACATAGTGATACCATACCATCTTTAAAGCTTATGGGTTAGTAGTCTTACTAGTCATTTGTGAAAATTTTAGTACCTACCTTGGGAACACTGATGCCATTTAGGACTGCAATGATCGGAAATAAGAATAAGAACGTTAGTATTGCTGAAGAGTAAAAACTTTTCTTGATATTTCAATTCGATTATTAATACTTTTCATATAATGTGCTAGTGTTATCCCTAAGGCTTTATCTTTTAGTAAAATATTACTTTTGATCGATCCAAAGTTATTGTTCTTAAATCTTAACTTGATTATTAACCCAAAAAATGTGCTCTTCATCTGATACCGTCCAATAGCAATATGGATCTCTTATCATTATGGTTTTTTTTCTCTGCACAACCCTGACCACCACCCAAACGCTATGCCCCACACTACCCAATCATAATTTGTGCTTTACATAAATTAATGACCCACCCCCTGTGAGGAGGTCTGTTTTTGATTTCATTCCGAACAAAAATGCTCGCTCGTAAATTTTGTGAGATTGTTTGTGGTTGGGGCAGAACGCGAGGCAAAAACAGATTCTTAAAGGTGTCCAACGGTTTTTGCCCCACTAGATTTCTACTACTTCCTCCTCGGGGCTTCTGGGCTGGGTTTTCCTCATCCTGCAGCTCCTTCTGTTATTTACACACTTCTTCATGTGTTTTATGGCATGTTCCCTTGGATTTCGCAAGATGGGGGAGTCGGAGTCCCTCGCAAAGATTTATGAGTTTGTCCTCGGTTTGTTTCTTTTGGGTGGCGGGGTTGTGTGTGTGTTTTGGCCCCCTTAACCCCATACTGCCCTTAAATTAAATATTAGTTGCGAGAATGTCTCTATAACATTAACGATACCCATTCTAATTTGCTCTCCAATGCCCAGCCTCATATTAAGTTGTTGCCTGGGTCGAATCAATATTAACGACTTGTTCGAGATTTGTTTGGCTTTCTCCAGTTTAATTGCCAGTCCCCGCTCTCCCCCTCCAGTTCTCTCACCCACACTCGCTGTAATTGTCGTAAACTTTTCCCCCAGTAAAAATTAACGATCATAAAGTAGAGCCATGAAAATTATACCGAATGGAACAGCAAATACAAAGGAAAAGCAACAAAAAGAGCTGAAATCATAATAAAAATGCATTCATAAACATGAAATACGATGTGAGGCAGGGGCGCTGTTCTAAGCGTGAGTCTATTAAAAGCGCATAAAAATAACTTCCCGATTTTACGAGGTCTAAGCCCAGGCATAACCCCTGGAAAGCGGGATGGCGGGGCGACAGTGATACCCTCATCGCCATCATAATCATCATGTGGTCGCCGTGTGCGGCAGGGGTTAACATTGCGACGGGGCGAAGGGGACCCCTTTGCTGCACTGGCGGGTTAATTAAATGACGCCAGTTTAGTATTTCGTGCCGCACACGTGTTGGCAATTGTGGGTGAGCGGGAAAATGCATTTTCCCCTCGACCATTTTCCCCACTTTCGTTGCTCCGCTGATCGCCCATGTAATGGCTGCCATTGAATTAGAAAAAGTCTCGTAAATGGATTAGTAAAACTGTTTTATGATGGGGAATCTATCTTGCAACATCTTTATTTGGATGGATACACTTGAAGTGCGACTGGAGATGGTTTTATGGCTTCCAAAGCTAAAAGCGAAAGCTCATAATTCATTGTAAGTTGGGCAATGAATTTTACATTTTAGTGTTGAGCCGATTGTAAAATTGACTAAATAAACATTTATACAAGCAAAGTTTTAAGTTCTATGAACCATTTTTATGTAACTTTAATGTAACTTGAGATCAAAATTAATTAATTAGTTATTATATTATATTACAAATTAAATGAAAATGTCTGTCTTCTATCAACTACTAATGCACATTTACCATTATAATCGCTTTGAATTTCTCAAAGTCGGCATCTTTTTAGTGTGATTTATTGTGAAACCCTTTGATTCCGTGCTTCCCTAATTAAAAGTATCCCTTTTAATTCAGGCCCTGTTCGTGCATTTCTGGCTGCCCCATCCGAACCCACTATGGTTACGGTTCCTGGGCTTGACAGCTGTCAATCTGAGCAGGCCGAGGAGGCCCAGCCCCTCGAAAACCCACTCCTCGGGCCGAAACCCCATCCTATATGTGTGTACATGCGATGTCCAATGTTGTCCACATAGCCAGCCGTCATAATTGATGAATTTATGGCATTTCTTGGAAACGAAACGAGCCAGAAGTCTGGGCCCCCGCCATCAATATGAAACGCTACTCGAATTATTTTCTGTACCCCGTACTGTTCAATCTCCTTGCTTTACTTTGTTTCGAGTGAGGCAAACGTGCGAATTGCTCAATTCCTCAATTCCTGGCAGCTCGATTCTTGCCACGCTTGAAAATCTTGGCGCGGCGGCTTTTCATTGACCGCAACCGAAGTGCAGAACAAGAAATGTAGAAATATGTGAGTGTAAAACCGACAAAACTCATTTTCAAATTGTTCGACGACTACGTGACTTCCGCGAGAAATAATCTGGAGTGTGTGTGGAGCCCTTTGAAGGCTAGGAGTGCAATGGAAATGGGGTGTGGGGACCGCATTACCACTAATAAGGAAAACGGTTGACAGACTCTATAAATTGTTAGGGTTCCGAACTCAGCTGCTGCACTGTTAAAAATCCATTCAAACTACGCAGCTTAAGTGGAATATTTAACTATCTGTGTAGCGTGACTATCTTCTTGTATCTTCATTTGTTTTTAGCCCACCCCCAGCCGGTCATTTATTTCATATATCAAATTCAGACATCTGACATGAGTTAATTGCATTTCATATTTTTCAACTCGCCCCCATCGTCAATTAAATCGCGCACAAATCATTTGAGATAATCATCGGCCCGATGATCAGAGCATTTATCTGTCAATTATTTATGGGATTTTAAGCATTCAAATCGAATTGAGTTTTTTTAATGGCAAGTAAAATATCCACAAGAAAACGGAACGAATTAAAAACAAGGCGATATGAAGATGCCTTTAATTAAAAACGGGTTTTTCGTTACGGTTTTGATGTCCCTTGATTGGCGCTTGTTTTGTGCATGGTCAAGAAAGAAAAAGTCCCATTTTCGGGGGGAAAGAAGTGAGGTGGCCAGACGGCTGCAAAGTTGTCAAGTTAAATAAGCGCAGACTGGCGGAGAAAGAAGTGCCAGTTGATCTGGAAGTTTTCCTTTTCACTATTTCCGGCTGCTTAGTGTTGCCGTTGCCAAAAACACGTGCTGTGTGGGGAGTGTTGCGCCTTAAATTCCAGGACAAAGCGGAAAAGCTGGGCTTTCCTCTCCTCCAGAAATATCCTTAAAACCAGAAACTTTTTCATTCACTTGTTAAGCGCAGAGCAACTTTATGACCTCTCTAGTTTCGTCTCATTTTCAAGTGGACCGGCCATAAATCTTATGTTAATTTATGCTAAAACTAAAGACCAAAACAAATTTCTGTTGTTACCACACACACACAGGCGCACGCGTATAAATACAAATATTTTGTTACCAGTTTTTATGCCTTTTGTCGTCGTTTGCTGTGGCTGTTGATGACTCTTTGGACCGGCTCTTTGGAGGAGCTCCTCCACTTTGCCCCCATACCATACCATACCGTACCACTCAGCCAAACTTGCTTTCGGCCCCACTCGCTTGTCATAAAGAAATTTTAATAATGTGCGGCGCCAAAAAAGTTTTTTCCCTCGTTGCTGTTGTTTTTACGAGCCGGCGACGTTTGGGAGTTTCGTATAAAAGTGTTAAATTCAAATGAGTTCAGAATGGGCCAAAAACCAAAGCGGCTTTTCCAGCTGGGCCAACAGGGCGTATGCGTATGCGGGACATGTCAGGCCATTAATAAAGCATTTACGGATTTGATTATATAATCATTTTGGTTACTGGATCTGCGGGAAATAACTTGCATCATTTTACTTTGTTTATGTTTCAAGCATAATTTTATTCGAAAAGAGACTGTTTGCTTTGCTAATGAACTTTCTGCTTTGGTTATCATTCCAGGTACTTGTTCATCAAATTTACATCTGGTAAGTAAGCCTCTGAATGGGTCTTTGAAAATAATACACAGCATTGACTCTCATAAAGCATCTCATATTTACCTCGTTTTTTAAAGTATTTATTATTTTTAAATATAAATTTAACACAAAGCCCTCTAAAAATGTAGGCAATTTAAATTAAAAGTACTAGTTAAGTTTATGTCTTTGAAGGAGTAAAAAAGCGTCTTAAGTCAGGAGAAATGTTGTAAAAATGTGCGTATCTTTATCAATGGGTACACATATTCCTATACATCGCCCTAAACCGTTTTTAAATAAAACTAAGCTGTTGCAGAAAAAAGAAAGGTGGACTTTAAACCTCTTTCCATAAATTAGATCATAGATTATAGATCATAGTACAAATGTAAAGTGCCTTCTTTTAATCAGTTACTCCCAGATTGTCGATATAGTTTTTGAAACTCTTGGAATTGGTAACCTAGGTAATTATTCTACTCGAGCTTAAACGCCTTTGATTTCGATTTTTTCATCGATTCAAATTAAACCATACTTTGAAGTCCCCATCCAACCAAACACTTTTAATACGTTTTCCCCGAACTCCCCTACGAAATGCCAAGCATTTGTCGAGGTTTATTGAGATATTTGCCTAATTTGACTGAGACCATCGCTCTTTCTCCCCGTCACTGGGATTCCCAGCCGGACTGACCCACAAATCAAGGGGCATTAAGCTGTCTATCTGTCAATCCCCGAAAAGCATTCAACTATCTCGGGCATTTATCGCATCGCTATGGCCGCACATTTACATCAAAATATATATCCGGAGATGTCTCGGGCAAATCCCGTTCTGCTCCGTCTTGGCTCTGGGCTGCATTTTCTACTCATTTTAATGATGCGCATAAAATCCACAAAATCATTTACATAAATTAAAAGTTAACTCGGGCATAAAATTACCAACTTAACACCCGTCGAAACGAGAGGAGGCTCCGCAACAACTCTCTGGCCAAAACCCACCTGACTGGGCCACTTTTAAGTTGGTGGCTTATTAAAGGCCCCACCTCTCGCTTTTTGCATTTTCCTTTCATTAAACCTCCCGCCT